TCATTACACCATCAATCTTCGGCCTATGTACACAAGGACATTAGTGAGTGTTCACTTCATCATCATACACATATATAAATACTGTTCAACCACTGACCTTTGACCTATATACACAAGGACATTGGTTGGTACTGTACACACATATATATTATTAACACTGTAAACACCATTCTGTGTCCCTCTCCAAAAGACATTATTCATTTAATTTGAAATTCTCATCTATGTTTCTGTTTGTGTTATACAGTATATCTAGTGAGTGTGATGAACTAGCTATGAGTTAATTGTGTAGATTAGGTAGATACATGTAGATTAGATAGATGCAATGTACAACTGTACAGTATGAATTACCAGCAACTATACACCTCTGTACATTACTCTTACAGGTCGCTGGTACAGTATTCTCGACTTTGTAAACAACTGTGGTGTCATCTCTAACGGTTTCCTCATCGCCTTCACCTCCAGTTGGGGACAGCAGTTTGACTTCTCCACCAAACTTTGGATCGTCATTATATTTGAGGTATACAAATATACATGTATACTGCTTACCTGGAAATATTTGTCACAGTTTTAGTTTTGCCTTTTTTCCTACTGTAATGAGGGTGAATTTATCATTTCCCTAAATATTTGTAAACAACACATAGTAATTAAATTCAAGGGCAAAATCGGCAATTAGCGAATGTTATTATTTGAGAGATACATGCTAACTTGGCCTCTTGTGTAACAGTTTTTATATCTATTTGAGGCATTGTTCTAACATGATTTATGATGATAAAACAGGCAATATCCAACTTAATTCACTGTGCTTGAATATGCTAAAACATGATTTTTACTCTTACAGCACATGGTGTTTAGTTTGAAGTTCCTACTGGCTTACCTTATAGCTGATGTTCCGAGGCACATTCGCCTTGCCATGCGGCGGGTATGTTAATCGCACTTATTAATTCTTTAAGTTTATCAAAGTAAAATCATTGATTACTTAGAAAAATGATTTGTTGAAAGATAATCCTCTGCATAATGTGATATTTGATTTATTTTATGCCTGAAACAAGTGTTTGTCTATATAAAATGTACAGTACGTTAGAGTAGACCAGAAAATATGTGCTGCAGTTTAACCTTCTCCATTCACAACCTTCATAATAATGACAAAGGATTGATCCCATTGGTACATAGCTGTGACATAGCTTCAAAGCTTGCATCACTATTACACAGTGAAATATACTGTATCAGTACACACTCTACATCACTATTACACAGTGAAATATACTGTATCAGCACACACTCTACATCACTATTACACAGTGAAATATACTGTATCAG